ACGAGATGTTGATATTGTGGACGTATGGGGACGAATCAAAGATTTAATTGTCAAAACAATCATAAGGTAGCCCGTTTTCTGAGTTTAGTCTACATTATAAGTTTCTTTGTCTATAATACTTGCATAAAATGACTTTAGTGCTGATGCTTATGTTAACGTTCTGGTAAAAGCTAATGTAAAACGAAAATTTAGCGTACATGAATTATTTGGATTTGATGTTATTTTGGATGAACAATGCAAACCATGGATTGTTGAAGTGAATATTTCTCCTTCTCTACATTCCAATTCACCTGTGAGTGAATAAACAAAAAATTGTCTATATATTTGAAAACTCATTTTGTTTGTATTTTAGCTTGATGTTAGTGTCAAAGGATCTATGATAGCTGATCTACTGAATTTATCCGGTTTTCAAATACCCGATAGACGAGATGTACTAGCTGATTCAGGTGTTAAAAGGTATGTTATTGGATTCGTCTAACTCTCTACTTATTGCTCTTTTAATCAAAATTTATATTAGGAAAGCACGTCTGCCAAAAAGTCTTATATTTGACAAACGGATATTACCACAATCGTTATCAAATGATGAAAAACTAAAGCATCAATATTTCACACAACGCTACAATGATGAAGTACGGCTAAAGACATACCCAAACAAAAGGAAAAATCGATAAGCTAGCTCAACCTAGGTAAACCGGTACATTTAGCTAGGCTAGCTTGGGCTAGCTAAATGTATCGGTTTACCTAGGTTGAGCTACCTTATCGATTTTTCCTTTTGCTTGGGATAAATTGTCTTTGAAATGAGTTGAGACGAAGCAATATCTTCTTCTTTTAGCAAATAAGAAAAAATATATTGGATATGTTTACACCTGATGATATTCGTCTGTTAACCGAAACAGAAGATGAATATGCGAGACGAGGATCATTTGAGCGTATTTATCCAACGCATCAAACACGAAAATATTTAAAATATTTTGAAACACCAAGGTATTATAATTTACTGTTAAACGAATGGGTTACAAAATACTATCGACTTGAAGAACGAGGTTTGTTTTGAATTTTCCAATGACTGTTAACTAGAATGAGATGCACTTTAGGTATTTCACTTTTGAATAATTTTTGCAAAAAGTCTATTCATATTCAAAATCCGGCAGAAGATGCATCCCATCTGGTAAGCATAAGTAATATTTTCGTTGTTACTGCTGAAGGAGTGCACATTCCATGTTTGTTTTATAGTGGACACAGTTTCAAAAATGGCAGGCATCGAATAGTAATCGTGACATGGACTACTGAAATCGAATCAAATTACGTGCCTTGTGTATTTTGTATTTCTTGATAAAGGGGCTATAGGCTTTTTTGGTGCTGTAAACTTTTATCTACTCCTCTTTGTCTTCCTTTACCGATCTTTTTTACGCCTATTGATTACGCATTAGTTCCTGGTGCTCTCTCTATTTTTACGTATGTTGCCTTATACAATAAAATCGGTGATCTTCGTCTAAGTCAGTGGTGTTCATGACTTTTGTTCCTTTATTGTACAATATATATTTTAGTTGTTATTAGGAATCTAGCAAATAAGGAGATATCTGTAGATCACATAAGATATTCCATGTGCGGACATTCTTTCGTCTCAACGCACCGGTAGAAAACGAGAACAGAAAGATATGCAAAAGAGATATCCTCTTTTTTACTAGTTCCATATATTCTCCAAATGCCTTTTATACTTCCATGTATGTTTTTAGTAAAAACCTTTCTGTCTCGCTCGCGTATAGAAATATTAGAAATATGATTTTAATTTGTTTACCTCTGTGATTTTGGCTGATATTTCTCCCTCTGTTTCTTTTTTTTTCATGGTTATAATAACTATGTGCATTAATATTGTATCGAAATCAATCGAGTTACTATCAAATGGTTACTTACGACCATGTGCAAGAAAAATGCACATCGCTGATCAAAACAAAACCATGGATTGAAACAACATAATTGTTTTGTGTGAATCGATCACTGACAACAGATAGAAGAAGTCTATACCGATGCTAAAGTGTTGTAAATGACGTCTATTATCTATGTGGTACTATTCAATCGTCGAGTCTCCTGGTTTGATATTTAATTTATATAAAGTTTATCTTTGATTTACTCATTCTCCAACTTAATAACTTCCCTTTAACAAAACAATATCATTTTCAGGCGAAATTTTTCAAAAACTATATAGCTATTAAACAGTATCTTCGACTGGAACTGAAAATGTTGAAAAAACTCTTTCCTTCATCGAATATTCAGGCTGCAATTACCGACAAACTCAGCCTTGAGACATCTACTATTCGAACAATTTTATCAAATCTGAGCATCAACAAACTTCATTTTCAGTTGAAATACTTAGCCAAGCCTCTGTTCGGACGGTCTCTGCAACAACACCTGCATGGACAAAATCCAGCACTTGTTCGCTATTGTTCTATTATCTGTCATCAGCAATCTTTTTAAACTTAGATACAGCGCAGTATTAAGGGTATCGATTTTTCTGATCACCAAAAAAGACACCTTTGAACACCAGATGTTTTCGCATGTCCCAATTACACACAACACACCGTTCACTTTATACAGCGAGAAACGCTGGGCAAAATGTGATTGCAGTGCTTGTCGATTTACAGTGTGTATCATGAATAAGTATACGACAACAATGTTTTTCTTCTGTTGCTTGTATTATTGAAACGAAGCAAGGCAAAAGTCTTCGACTTGCCTTAACAGTTAGTATCATGTCCTGAAAATTATTAACGCAGTGTCAAAATGATTTTTAATTAAAATAAACCATTTTAAATTAAATAAAATCATAAAGCAAAAAAGATAGAACAAAATGTAGAATGAATTATGCTTTATAGAGACCGTGAGGACTTCTAATCTCACGTTCTTGACTCTGTGCCGTGTGTATAAGACACGACGTATATTTTATATACTGCTCTTTATTTCACTCCTTTTCAAAGAAGATTATAACTACTACTGAACCTTAAAAGCGAGGTAGGTTGAAATCAATTTACTGATGTATCAACAGGTTAGTAAGCAAAATACCAAGGGGGATGTCAACAAAATAAGGGCGTAATGTGATTATTATTAAATATAGTGCACAGGAATGAATAAAATAAAACAATTCGATCCAACGAACAACAACACTTGATATAGTATAACGTGTATCCGGAAGCTGAAATATGTTATGATCAAAAGTACATTTACTCCAGTGATAATTTTAGATTAGCGACAACTTCCTGTTTCTACGGTGTGGCAACGGTCAAATATCTTCATTTCGACATGAATTGTAGCGAGAAATGTAGAAATCAGTAGAAACCACAAAGATTTTCTCGAAACTCTCAGGTACCTGGAACTGATCCCAGTAGGTTCGCCATGGACGATTTGGATCCACTGAGGTACACGCTTTTTATTACCCTTCATTAGGCATGCATGTTAGGGCTTCCACGAAAACTGTTATAAATCGCCTATAAAGAACTAGTCAGAGTCACGGAACATCTCATTTTGTAGAGAAATGTTTAGACTATAATCCCATATAAGTAGAAAAATTTCAAACTTATCCGTGATATAAATATGAGCATTCTAAAATGCACTAAATTTAGGAAAAAAACTATTCGAACAGTTTTTTCTTCTAACTTTAGTGCATTTTGGAATGCTCACATTTTTGTTAGAATTAACTTGAAAGTTTTCTCCACAGCGTTCAGAAAGTTTTAAGTTATTAAGAAATTATTAAGTTCTGTTGACCTCTGAGTAATTAGCAACGACATCGGATTATGAACAATTTACATTTGCCACAAATAATATTCATTACTAACTGTCAATTATCTACCGTTGTCACATACCTATACACTGATATTTGATCATTATCTATTTCCTAGTTAGATCTCATGTTAATGTCAGTTAAAGAAGCCATTTGCTAAGCAAATTACATTTTACTTCAACAACGAGGGTGTAACGCTTATGCCAACACTGGTATTTTTCAGTTAATTTTTTCATCTTTACTGATTTCTTTCGCCCGTTCGATTGATGAGAGATTTGACGATAATAGCATCAGCATTGTTTGATCACAATAGAAACAGACCTATCAACAATCGATAATCTACTTGCGAACTCTTCTATATAATTTATGTTGGGAGCATTCACTCAACAGATTCTTTCATCCAAGACTTTACCACTTGAAACGTCATCGTTACAAAAATTAATGGTTCTATAAACTGATAGACACTACTATAATGAATTGTTGAGAAATTCTCTTACCACTTCCATACGTGCACCATGCACATCTTAAGCATCTATATAGAGACAGATCTAATAATCCGTTTGATTACCTATTTTCATGGTATAATGAAGACTCAACTTGTTATACTATAACTTTATCTCGTTTTGATTAAACATTTTCGCTTAAGATTCCCTTTGTCAGAAATCTGCTTTTGTCCTAGAACATCCGATTCTGATGAAACTTTCACAAAATGCGTGTCCTACCTAGAAGGATGATATTAACAGCGCAAGTTCGAAATGTTAAGTTTTCACAAACTTATCTTAAAAATACACACTTCGGGATGGATAGTCCCAAATGTGTCCAAGACTTAGCACCACAACTGAATAGAGGCAGATTTTGGTTTCCTTGAGAAAAATCAACTTTTTCCAATGTTTCTGATAAAAATCTTTGAGAAAATTAAACAATAAAACTGCAACAAAACTGGGTCTATTAAGTTGTGGTGCTAAGTCTTGGCTATATTTTGAGACTATTCCGAAGTCTGTATCACTTGAATTGAAGGAGAAATCTTTGTCGCACGAATATCTGACATGGAAAAAATGACTTCGAGAAAAATGTCGTGTACTTGTTGCAGCATCTTTTAGCTTGTAGGAAAATGCATGTAACTTCTAAACGCTAATTCACACAAAGTTGCAGAGCGTGGCGAAAAACGTTTCTTCTAGAAATCTATAATTTTAAAAAAATTAAATTGCATAATTACCGTGGAAAAAATTAGAATTCGAATATTATATTTTTCAAGGTACCCAAAAAAACGTTCTCTAAAATCATAAAAAATTCTCCACGAGCAGAAAGTGATTTAGATTGTAAAAGTAGACACTGTGGGTTATTCAACCATAGATAAATCTCAAAATCGATGTCTTTGACGAAAATTGACTTTTCTGACGGGGAAAATTCTTTTGTCGATCAAGGACTAATTCTAAAAAATTCGTATACTCCTTGAAGCAACTAAACTAATGCAAAACAACGAATAGAATCGTCGACTACCTATAACTTTCAATATCCATAAAAAAAAGAATTATTTCAAATCTTCAACAAAGGACATATTCCAAATATTTTGATACCAATCATTGAAGCAAAAATCGGCTAATTTATAACAATTATTCACGATTCCTATAATAAGTCATAAAAACATCGCCGATAAACTTCGAATAACCGGCGATATTTCGTGAAATCACAAGTAACCGTCGATTTTACCAAACTACTATTAATTAGAATAAAATTCTGCTGAAAAATCATAGTTAAGCGCACGATTAATCGACAAGAAATTGTCGATTTTGACAACATCGGATGTTAAAAGCTATGTGTAAAGAAGAGTGTTTCTTTCATGGTAGAGAATTATTTCTTGATAAGTTCAATTCAAGTTCTAACATCAAAACTTTTGACATTTACATAGCACCTAATAAATCAGTAGACATATTCGGAAACTTCGAAAACAGATCTCTCAGGAGAAGAAACCAGCTTCCGCCCTTTTAATATAAGTGAAAATATTTGTACAGTAGTAGTATCAGATCAATATTTGAAAAGTAGAAGAGTTTTGGTTGAAGTCCTAAGTTTCACTCTGAGGTTTCTGTGGCCAATAAGTCTTTGACAGAAAATAATTTCGCCGTATGTGTTCCTGAATCAGCTACTGCAAGCATTTGAGAAGACGAATTAAAATCAAGTCCTTGCGGTCCATACAAAGGCTCATCTTTTGGCTGTAATATACGAATAAATAAACCATTTTTATCAAACACCTACAAAAAAATTGAGCATGAATTGAATCAAAATAGTTGGATTGTCAGTGAAAAAACGGCTAAAAATATTACCTGTACTCTATTGTTACCCCAGTCAGATACAAATATCATGTCTTTCTCATTATCAACTGTAAGTCCAGTTGGACCTTGAAATTCTCCGTGTCTATTACCGTTAGAACCAAATGTGAATAAAAGTTGTCCACTAGCGATATCAAATATTTTAATCGAACTATTATGAAAATAACTAACAATTATATTATTATTTTTTGAATCAAATGCCGCATAGTGTGGTCCAGCAATTTGGTGTTTTTGCGCTCCAGGACTTCCAAAACGATGCGAAAATTTACCATCTGAATGAAATAAACATATAGAATTCGCTTTATTATCGACGACAGCAATCATGTCCGATATTGAACAAGTAACACCTTTTGGTCCGACTAAATGTTGTTCTCCGAATTTTCGAATAAATCGACTATCGCTATGTAATTCACCAATGCACCGTTGATCATAATCAGCAACCAAAATATGTTTCTGTGGAGTTATAGATAGTCCAATTGGTCGTCGAAGATCTCGAATGGGTTTTTTCTTATCAAAAAGAATCGATTTTACGTTACCAGACAAAATATCGAATAACTGTACACTTTGATTAATACTGTCTGACACAATTAATGTCTCATTATCATAAAAACAGACATCCTGAGGATTCGAAAATTTTCCAATGCCTTTTCCGTTTTCACCAAATTTTTTAACGAGAAATGATGTTGCTGAAACAGTCAACGTTTCGTCATCTACAATAGCTGAACTAGATGCGGATGATTTTGTTATGAACTTTTTTGATAGTGCTGGAGATTCTTGCACACTAGAATAATTCAAATTTGTTGTAGATGATGATGAATCTGTTATTCGTTGTGAAAGATTTGATTTTAATTTGGGAATTCTAGAATGATTATTTTTAATATTCATTTATAATGTATACGCATGAATTGGTATAATTTAATGCTAGGTTAATTTTGTTTTTCAGTTATAAAATACTATTAACTAGTATAAAACACTTATATAAACGAATAACAATGTTAAATATTCGTTGATAATTGTATAAATTTTAACAAGCTGAAAAAAATTATGAATCATAATTGCATGTGCATTCTGTTTTTGTATCGATACTTAAATGATTGAAAAGATTATGTTTTTTTATTCAATTCTCTCTCCCTTACCTTTGTGACGTCAGCAAAAACATGTGTGATTCTAATTTAACGCAAAATCCGTATATATTTTTCTTCAAATTATCTTTTCTTATTAGTATTGATGATAGAGAAGAAAAAAGATTGCTTGTACAAGTATTATGATCATGGCGATTATTTTTTCTTCCATTTAAGATATAAATATTGTATTCACTATTTTCATACGTATTAAATTGAACATTGTTATTATTTATGTTCGTGTTGAATAAATCAATTAGGTAAACACAATGACTTTTCATTGTTCTTATCAATGATGACATATCGAACACTTGAACTATGAGCATGAATAAATATGCAACATAAGATCATTCTCATTGCTCATGTTATTATTGACTTTATTAGCAGAAGAATCATTCATTACGTATTCTGATTAGTCATAGAGTGCGACAAAGTTTCTAGACAATTTTTGTTTACATCTTTTCTTCCATATAACTCATACCACTCCCATTAAATTTTATATTGTAGCCTATGATGTAGATTGAGTTCAGAGTACGATTCTCTAAATCATAGAAAATTTAATGAGAAAAGTATGAGTCATGTGGAAGAATTTTCCTCGAACATTGAATAGTTAGAATACGACAACAACTCTAAAATAACATATTCTCTTACGTTGGATTTCTAGAAAACCTCTAGACATCCCAATAATGCGAAAACAGATGTTTTTACTTTTCTAACTCTATCGCCATGTAAATCACGGAAAACGGAGTATTTTCTAAGGATTTCAAGCGGTTTGATTGGGTTTTGAGTGAGATTGGCATATTTTACTTTTATACACTTATAGCTGAATTGATGGATTTTTCTCAAAATTCAGTTTCACTAGATTTTTCCACCTTTTCCTGGAAAAAAAACATTGCCACAAGATTCAGTATGGTCGATAACCTATGTTTCCATTTACTTTAGAGTCTATCCAAGATCATCTAATACCAGTCGTGGGACTATCAGAAAAATTGATACCACGCTTAAAATTACAGAGACTAAACCTTCTGATCAAGATATCATACGTAGCTTACTTTGTAGGAAATTCGACGAGCTTTAAAATGGTATATGACACAAAATGTACTTATTTCTTTACTAGTGTAAGAAATAGTAAAAACTGGAATTATGTCGCATTTTTCCTTAGTCGGTTTACTTTTGGTCCCGATCAATTTTTTTTTTTTTGGTCGAACCCAAAACAAATCGTAAAAATGAATCGGTCTTATTGTAGAGAATTTCATGCTCTATCGAAATATATATAAATTGAGACGCAACCGGCCTTTTAAGTACACAAAAAAGTTAAAATTTTGTGAATGTGTATCCCATTACGTATGTGACCAAATAAAAGTTTGGTCTGCCATTTTTCAACAAATAGCAGTGAAGATATGATTTGAATGTCTTTCAATTCAGTTTTTCATCGTCTATCTAGCAGTGGTCGAGTGAATCTTATCTACTGTTTTAGTTAAGACAAATAATTAAATTACTAGCAGCAAGATGATGATGGTAGAAAAAAAATATTTTCATCCTTTTTTTACTTTTTTCGATCGAAAATGACAGAGAATAATAGAAACGTGACTTTTCTAATAAATTCCGTCATTGAAAATGGAAAAATCTGAGTGGGCCAATTCTTCCTCTAATGCGTCCCCATCCTTTTTGAAATTATTATTTTATATATACGTGACTTCTTCTATTTGTTCTTATGTAATTTAATAGTTGTAGACCTTGGGTAAAGACGTGTTCATTCAGTTCCATATATGAAAAGCAAATAAAAATATTAAAATATGGATCACGAACATGTTCATGCTGAATCTAATTATTTTATTGATTCATTTATCAATATATAATTTACTAAATGTAAAGTAATTTCGATCGTCTTCCTGACGCAATAAAAGTACTCATGGAAAACTGCCGCTCTGCACCAGCTAAAAACGTTGATACAGTGTAAATTTTAAATGTCCATTTCGTTAATAGACTCTATTAACGTTGTTTACTTCTGTAAATGATTATCTCTATTAAATAGAGATAATCATTTACAGAAGTAAATAAAATATAAAAAGTACTACTAAATCGACTATACTGTTCTTCCTCCTATGTTAGTGATCAAAATTTTTGATTCTGTCCGTAAAAAATGTTTGCCCCAAACTCGACTCTGTTCGACCATTTTTAAAAAAAAATTCTGGTCTGACCCAATACATGCGGATCTTTGACACATAGTATTCGAAGGAATTTTATTCTGTACTGATTCATAGATCGATCATTTTTTTGTCCAAAAGACAAAGATAATTGCATCAAATGTTCATAGTAGATTTTTCAAAAACTCAGATCTTCTGGAAATCTTTTGAGATACCTATTTGTTTTTGAATTTTAAACACGTTACAAAAATAGAAAAGATACAAATAAAAATCCATTTCCTTTATTCGATGAGACTGAGTGTTTACTTTTATACGAGAAGAGAATATTTGCTCCTTTTCTTTTCTCGAATTTTAGGAACGAGATTCTAGATAGAGAGAGAGCCAAAACTTATTTTGAGTGTATCATTTGATATCATATATGTTTGCTGAGATTTTATTGGAAATCGTATGTAAAATAAAAGTTTTCTCACTGCACAAAAAAATAATACACAAATATTTTCTTTATACGTTTCAATAATCTATTTTATTTTTTCTCCATTTTATCAGTGGTGGTGATTTTTTCTATTGTCGAATGAGTTGCTCCTGTTGTTGTGTTGCATTTGTGATCACAGTGCTTATCATGATGTATTTGATGATCATGATCTACAGCTGCCAAACAATTATTTTGCTTCTTACATTGTGTTTTGAGTTCGGTTTTGTATTCTTCAATTAGTTTTTCTACAATTTCTTTTGCTTGTTCTGCAGTAATGACTTTCACATGTTTACTGACTAAATCTTTCATATTATTCTGGTTTGCATAACTATCGAAAAGCGATTCAAATTTTAATCGCATCAATTTTAGCATGCCATTATGATCAAGTGTTGCACTACTCTCCTTCGCCATTAATTTATTTTAGATAGTCAACAAAAAAAAATATTTACGATAAATACGATAAGAGTTGAATATAATGTAATTTAAGTAACAAAATTTAGATGGTAACTGTGTACTGAATAATGCGCGAAATTTCTCAGGTTACTGTTCGTACATCGCTGGAACTCGGCCAAGAGGTTTGTAAATTGCGCGTTTGCAAATTCTTTTTCCTGTGAAGCCATTTCAATCAGCAGTGTCTGTTTTATTTTGAGCAAAGAGTAATTAGATGAAAAAATCTCGCTCATCCTATTCTGTTGTGTATAAATGATTGACGTCGAATGCTTTCATCATCTTTATGAATTGAGTACCAATTGTGAACCTTTTCTCCATTTGATTATTTTGTTACAGATGAATATAACTTTGTCGCACCCTGTGACTAATCAGAATATATAATGAATGATTCTTCTGCTAATAATGTCAATAATAATATGAGCAATGAGAGTGATCTTATGTTACATATTCATTCACGCCCATAGTGCAAGTGTTTGATTTGTAGATTCCGCTTTCTTTCAAATGTGATTTATCTTTTAGAGTATTAGAAAGTCTAAAACAATGAGAAAGATTTGGAGATGTACTGATGTACACAGCTAAACAATATTGTCCCATGTACTTGGGATGATTACTTCTCTTGCCTAATGAAACAGGTAGTTTACTTATTTCCAGAAGTAATAAATTTATTTGTAAGATTTTTCATTTGACAAGTGCTTGTTAGGGAAAATTTCCCGTACTTTCCTTCGTAGCAATAAAATGGAATAAGTATTCCAGTCTCGGAGAAGTGCTTGTGAAAGTATACGACAAGTGAGTAATTTTAAAAATACTTGTCAAGTTTTTGAGGGACTTATCAAGTAATCTAGTATTTGATGAACCAAATACGTTGCTGACTAAAAGATACTGAGGTACTTTTGTTCATTGCAAGAACAATTAAATATCACTCACTGGAAAAAACTAGATATGAAAGATGTAGTTTATATAGAAGATGGCAGCGCAATGCGGATCCATTGTCGGCAAGGTCTCTGATAGAATTCTTCCGATTCAATTTAAAAAAAACTATCCTTTTTTTCCACTTTATTTTCTCCCGCTCTGTTAAGTATTGTTCTACTTGATGGTCATTTCATGCGAAACAAAAATTAATTTATATAAAAAGCTTGATGTTCTAACAACAGTAGTAACTGAACGAGTAGAATGAGTTCTTATTTTCCACGTTCAACATTTTTTCATCGACATTCGTCCTCAGAAAATCACAGCGACCGTCCAATAACGACCGTGTTGTGGATTACATGTGGCCATCATGTTTTTGACATCGAACATTTGTTGAGTGGGCTCGGACACAGTAAGAGCTCGATACTGTTGATTGCCACCAGACATGAGTCGGCCAAAGCCGAGCATGAAAAAGTGAAGACATGGAAAGATGGTAGGGTAGGGCCAGGGCTGCAGTGTCACAGGGTAGAAGGAGAGTACAACAATTTTGCACGGGGTAGAACCAGGGCTCCATAAACAGCTATCCTGCACATTTCTAGTTCACAAATAGTTTTCTCAAGTTGGCAACCAATTGACCTGGAAATTGGAGATCTAGAGTTGATCTTATCAATAATAAGATCAACTCTAACTGTTAAACAGAAGGTAGAGAGAGGTGTAAAAAACTTAAAAATCGTGACACTGGACATTGTGACACTGATTAAATGATTCAAATCACACCATGTGGGCCGTCAATTTGAACGTTCAAAAGCAAATATCGAATAATGCTTCATTGTTCATACGGTATATTTTGCCCGCACTTTTCACCAGTTGATGAAGAAAGAGTACAGCATTTTACAGTTCAATGATAGAACAAGACCGAATGTGTTCATAATTCGATTAGAATATTCTTCTCAACATCTATGTTGCAATACGTTAAAAAGTTATTTTAAACGACTGTATGGTTATGTAACTAAACAAAAACCATCAAAACTTTATAAATTAATAACATTTATTTTAATACGTC